GGTGGTGAATTATACCTCAAAACAACATTCAGGTCACAAATAATATGTATTTGAATTTGTGTTAGAGAAGCCTGTCGATAACTAGTATTTAACACCTGCATCTATATAATCTTATTAGGCAATGGATGCAAATCTCTGTATGAGGAGGAAATACTGCTTTGAACAAAGGAAAACTGAAATTCTTTCATCTTCCAGTATAAATTCTTAATCAGAGAGAGCATGGTCATCACAGTGACAGTTCACACAGTCCAGTAACTCATTTGTAAGGTCTTCCCTGGACATCTTCACTGTGTTAACTGCTGTATGTCTAGATGTTTGTTATCTGCTATATTAGTCTCATGGGGTTTTGTGTGAACTGATTTAAAATGACTGGAAAGAGTTTATGAAATCTGACTAACAATAACCTGACTTGGAATATTTCCGTGATGAATGGAAAGAAGTGCTATGTGTTGGTAATGAGTAAGATGAAAAAGTAGAAGAGCTGAACAGATATTCCTTGGTATCGTACTTCTTATTTCTATCAGAATAATTTCTCAGTTACAGTCTCAGGTGAAAAACAGGAATTAACTTACAACACAGAATGAATCATAGTTTAATTATGCCAGTTTTTTCCTGCAGTGACAAAGATCTTCATATTCTTTCAGAAAATATTGACAGTGTATCATCCTTATTACTAATTTGATAAATTCTTTCTGTTGCAGTCATTCCCACGAGTGTCACTCCTGTGTTAAATACATGTGCTCATAGTTGTTGTGTTAACTAAAAAATCCAAAGTCACTCTTTGTCCTAGGAGTTCGTAATTCCAGCTACATAGACATGTTAAATTGTTCTATAAAAAACATAAATTTAGCTGCTCTGAAGAGGATCTTGTGGATTTTAAGTGTAGATTAATCCCCAGTTACTCCTAGGACTAGAGGGGTAGATATGGAAATGTTTACCTGTTAAAAAGTGTACAATCCGTTTTATAGTTAATTGTATGTGGTTTCTGGTTAGAGGTCTGTAAAGCTGCCATATGGAAGTGTTTGTCTTTTTTAGTTTCATTCACCTGTCTTGAAATTGTCACAAAAAAAAGAAAGGGAAAAAGCTTACAGAGGAAAAAAAGAAGGAAAAAGAACTACAGTGCAGAATGAGCTACTTTGGTCCCAACCAGATCCACTCAATCTCTCCAGTTAGAGAGTTGGGATTTCTTCTTTAAGCCATTGATGTTCAAGGGTTTAAAAAGCCAAAATGTTCTACCTGGTAGTAGAAATGGCTTAACATCTGCAACATGTTGGTATTTCCTCTGCTAATATTTGTCATGGGGACTTCCTAAATTTCCCCAAATCCAGCTTGCAGGCTCTTCACATATCAAACAGGTAATACAGGTCATTGTATCAGGCAGGTAATACAGGTCAGTGCTGAACGTTATAGATTCCTTCAGTTGCATTTTGCTGTCCTTTCACTTGGAGTTTTCCAAACCAGTGACACGTATTTTTCTACGTGTGTTTTAGCTGGATTGAGAGCTATGGAAATTGCTTTTCAGCGGATTTTACCGCTGATCTTCAATATGGTTTGAGTATAACGTTTCTCAGTAAATGGAGCAGCAAAGAAAATCTGATAATCTCATTGCTGATGCAGTGTTGTATGTCCGAAGATTGGAGTTGCTAAACCACGAGCTAAACTCTTCAGTGCTGGCAGCGACCTGGTGTGTACAGCACTGAAAGCAAACCTATGAAAGAATTTAAGCTGCAAATTACTCATTTGCACAATATATCAGGAAGGAATTATCTTCCTTAAGAATAATTAGCTCTGGAGCAGTTCTTCACATGTATGTTTTTTACTCAGTGCCTATACATTACAGGTATAAAACTAATCTATTGTTTTTAGAAATCCTTTTATACCAATAAATACATTCCATTTTAATATGCCCAAAGAGCAGCAGCGAGCATGAACTCTTCCAGGAACATGTGAATACATTTTCTATTCCTTTCTGTATCTTCATCATTTATCACAGTGAGTTTGTACCCAAAATTAATATTTTAGAGACTCCTGTTTGATGCTTTTTGAACTGCAGTTGCATGCAAAGTTGACAAAGGCATCGTTTTGGGGGTTTCTGTTTGTTATTCGTTGATCCTGCTGGAGCTTGAAAATTTCCTTTTTAGAATTAGCTCTTTTCTTCGCCTTTCCTTAAGGAAACATGCCAGGGAATCCTCCACATGCTTTCTGGCATCGAAGCAAACTAGATGCTAAAGTCTAGTGTTAACCTTTGTTAAACAGCCCAAAGAATGTATAAATACTGTATTTCTCAATAAAATGACTGACGAAAGAATAGGAATCTTGGCTTTGCTGAGCAGGAAAATAATCTTATTGTGTTCAGTTAGTGATTTCAAGTACTGTGTTATGAATAACTGATGTGGAACAATTTGAAGCCCAAGCCTGATTAATTCTCATCGATGGGTGTTAAATCTTAGAGCTGTTACATTCATGGACATTTGTTCACATATATTTTGGGGCTTGAGAGAAAAAGCAAACCAAAAATAACCTTAAAATAAACCAACTGATGGACCTGTGGAGGTGCTGATAATCTTGGCCACTGTCATTGAAAAGTGCCTCCTAAAAAGCCCATGGAATTAGGGATTTTTTTCCTTCGTAGCACAACTGGGACACAGAAACCCCGTTTTCTGTAGCGAGAATGCTTGGACGCTCTCCAGTCGAGTGGGAACAAAGAGTTGTCTGTCAGGGTCCCAGGGAGCCCCCGCATCTGCTTTTTGAAACAGGATGTGGGGAAGGGTAGAAATCCTCTCCATCTGTGACGCTAGCATGACTTTGAGAACACCTGGAATGACTATACCCGGTATTGGAAGCTTATCGCTGGAGCTGATTTCTGATAGATTAAATGCCTTTAGGGACCGAGTTCCCGTGTTGTGTGAGAGCTTAGTGCTGGGGCAGATTTTCCACTGGAGGATCTGGACCCTAAAATCTGAACCCAGGACTCCTTTGGGAAAATGTACAATTAATTCAACAAATAAATTCTGGGCGATATTTGGTTTGTTTCACAAACAACAAAATAACAACAACAAAAAAACCCCTTTGAGTAGTTTTAGTGTATTTCACTATCCACTCAGAATTCTGTAAGCAAATGCATCAAATTTATGCCTTTATTTTCGTTAATTGCTTTTTGTTTAACTTGATTTCACTTGGGTGAATATCCAACAAGCACACAGCCAGGTTTGTTAAGGGAAATGCCTTCTGTGCTCAAAAGAGTCTTAAAAAAATACTTGTGCATTTTTAGTAGAGCCTGAACGTGTTTCCTCTGATCTATATGCAGTGAAACCAGCCTGAGTACATCATGTCATCAGTCAGCTTTTAACAGAATGTAATTCAGCAGTTACTCAGATAATTGGCTAGCTAATAAAAAGAAATACTTGGGTGGACAGTTTGTGAAGGGAAAATTGTTTCTATTTTTCTTCATATTAATTATTTCTCTGTCTCCCTTTTCAGTTAAAGATGCTGTTGGTGAATGCTGTTGACAATTTCAAATGAGTAGTGAGTTTAAGTTGATCAAAGCTGTCTTAGGTTTCTGTATCACGTTGAAAAGATTTGTTGGGTTTCTACTGTTTGTTTCATTTGCAGTAAGGAAGCAATAACAGGTTACCATGTCCCGGCTCTAACACTTCCAGATTTCAGGAATAACAATAACAAATCTTGTCTGGGCAACTAATAAAAACTTTGCTTTCTATTTCAAAGATTGTTTGTTTAAATCAGTGGCATAATTAGCTGCAGATTAATAAGTGTAGAATGAATATAAAAATAAAGAATCTGCTTCAGAATGGATGTTACAATATCGCTTAGAAAGCAGTGCTAATAAAAAATATTGTTACAGTCATCTTTATTTCTGGAATTTCAGAGTTTGCCGGAAAACTCTGAAATGTGGAAAGTTTGCCAACCGTATTTGTAGTAATGTGTTCTTGAAACTAGTAGGTGAGTAGATGACTGCGTTTTGTATTCACCCCTCATCATTTATGATAGCACATAATCTTAACAATTTGTCAACTTGTGTTTAATGCTTTTAATATTGGAAAAACCCCTGCATATTGAGGATATGCAGTACAGATTGAGAGGAAACTGAGCATGTTGTTTTGTTGTTATGGTAAATCTCCAATGTTAACGATGCTGATGGCTTTTTCGATCAGCTGAGATTTTGCTGTGTTTCTCAAGTACAAGACTGAATGATGTGCTCTGAGTTATAAAATCTGATTGTTTTGGAAGTCATCTTCAGTTACTAAGGATGAATGTTTAATTTAATCTCTTGTATATATATAGTCTTAAAAGAAAATCTTTAAATTACCACAAACTACGCTAAAGTGTCAGCTGAGTTGGTGACGTGCTTCGTAACAGAGAAGTCTGAGGAATACTGAAATTATAGCACTGGGCATATCTACTTCATAAGTTCGAATAAAGGCAACGATAGGTTTGTTTGAAATATTGCTCTTAAATTTAAAGAATAGAGGATATTTTAAATGAGGAAAACTTATGAAATTGGGAGGAAAATTCTGGCAACAGAGCATTTGTGTTAATCTGGCTCAAAGTTTGCCTTCGCTCTTACTTCTGAGGGTCTTAACGCTGTGTAATCCCCCATAACCTAAAACCAGGAATACACTGCTTGTTCTGTGAAATAATGTATCAGCTAGCAAGGAAAAAAGGAAAGAAAAAAGAAAGAGTAACAGTTATAACTAAAAAAACCCTATATATAACAGAGGTTTTTCTAAGTATGTGGGAGAAAGTCTCCTAGTTGCTGTAACTTTTAGAATAATACTACATTCCTGACACTGCTGACAATCTCTTCAGCAGTAGTATTGGTGTTTCTGTATTGGTGTTCCGAGAGGCTTGAGTTGCTGCGACACTGTAGGCTTGTAGGAAAAAAAGGACAGTGAAGATCCCCTCAATGTTGGTTGTTACAGTAAAAACATCTTCTTTAAAAGCCTTCTTTCTGTGTGAATGCTCTAAAAGTAAGTCACTTTTTAAAAATAGTAACACCTGGCTTAAATTGATGCTTTTTAAATCCTTTTCAGTCAAATCTTTTCAAAGTCATTTTAAAGTGTATTTCTGTATGTTTCTAAGAGGTACAGTCTAACAAAAGTACAGCAAAAATGAGGGACCACTGGATGGTGGTAAGGATAAAACAATCTCTTGAGCAAGGCATTTAGTCAATATGTGTGAGCAGTTGAAGTGTTAAATAATTGCTGTTCCTTTGAAGTGAGTATATTCAGATTAATGCTGGCAATGAAGTAAATTTTCTTGTAATTGCCGCTGAGCTCAGCAGCATTCTGTGCTGTCCAGGGAAGGAATGCAAAGGCATTTTGATGTTATAATTAAATGTCAGGACTGCAACGGTTGAACAATATGAGCATTTCATGTCAGTCAGACAGTTCTTTGGTGTGTTTTGCATTAGATTTTGGGGGGGTTCTGTAAAAGGTGTATTACATAAAGATCATTAATTACCGTTAATCCAGATATCATAATTCAGAAGCCACTTAATGATTCTGTTTATAGTGTTTTTAATGTTGCATTTTAAAATTGTAAGGGATAGAAACATTTTCTTTTGCATGCATTTAAATACTATAAAATAAAATATCTTAGTTTAATTTTCCTTCAGTTGTATAGCTGTACCTACCCCTTGTGGAGCCAGTTTTGTTCTTCTAGTTTAGGGAAAAGTGCCACACAAAACCACTGCAGTGTGTTACTTGTACCCTTTAAAATGGAATGGAAATACAGAGCAGTCGCATACATCGTAAATTTACTCTTTAAACACATACATCTCATATAATCTCTTCTTTCTTTATGTGGTGATTTTTTTGTTGTTTTTGGAGATGAATTTAGGAGGCTTGAACCTAGCTGGCTTTTTTTTAAAGGTAGAGTTTGTATTAGTTTTGATATTTATATCCAAACTTATTCTTAGTGCTTTGTTTTCAAGTACTTTTAAGGGACTTGCAAAACAAAAATACCTGGAAAATATCTGGTAAGTCCTGTAAGATCTGTTGAAGAGTAAAAACTGGAATATAAAGAGGATGAAATTACAGACAAGGCAATAATCTACCATTCTACTGCAATAACTAATTAAAAATGTAATAGCTAAGTAAAAGCATGAGGATGTTGACTTTCCCCCAGTATTTCGGGCAGGAACAGCCCAAACAGTCGGAACAGCAGAAGCAGTCAGTGCTAGGAAAGGAGTGAGCAATTGCACTAAACCTCTTGAATTACCCACCTGGCCACAGGCTGGGGACTTCATGCGTGAGGACTCTGTGGTGGCTGCGCCGATAGCCTCAGAGCCGGAGTTCTTGCCCTTGGTATCGCTAGGGCTTGGATTGCGCCGAGCTGAGAGATCCCTGTGTTGTTCCCATAGGCGCTGTGCAGATCTAGCAGGAGTGGTCGCCTCTACCTCAAAGACTTTGTTAAGGATTAGAGGGCTTTAGCAAGGATTGTGTGGTTTCGTTGCTCCGAGCGTTGGAAAATGCAGTGGTGGATTACGCTTACAGTCCGGTTTGAAAGCTGAGCTACAAGAGGTTCCCATAATACTGTGAATTAAATAATGGGAGTTGAAGCACAACCGAGAAGATAATAAACATGGAGAGAGTGAACAAGAAGAATAACACCAACAAGTGAACAGGGCACACAGACTAGTTCTGGGAATACTTGGGTTGCCTTGATAATAATAAACAATGTAAGAGTAATTTGCTAATATATATTTGGCTACTGGTAAGGCTTTACAATGTCTTACATCCTTTTTCATTTACATATGGATTAAAAATAGAACATGTTACTCTCTCTTATGTAAATGAACCAGGATATTCCCTAGGTGCAGTTTAAAAGATCAGTATTATCATTTCAACCATAGAAAACACAGGTGCAGAGAACATAAATAAGACTGCACATGCTTTAGCGATTCCATATCATGAAGTGCTTAATTACCCTTCTTTGCTTGTAATTGAATATAGCCAAACCAGGCTTGTGTTTATGAACAGCAATGGGTGATATTTCTTATGAGATTCCTTGATGAGGTTGCCATGTTATCTGACACTCTTGACAAAAAGTCATTTTATTACCTCCTAGCCTGTTAAGACCAGTAGACTTTTTCTTTCACAGCTTGATGACAGATGAGACTAGTGTGCTGCACATTGGAATCTTCTTTGTGCTAATATGTAAATGAATGAGTTTTATAGCAAGAGAGTTAAGAAGGCTTGCTCTATGGGTTTCTTAAATGAGCATGAAGAGTATTGATCTGGGTCATTAATGGTAATAGTCAACTGTAAGGAAGAGGCACCTGCCTGGCTCCTTCATGGGGATAGGGAAAGGCTGTCTGTTCAGGCCGTGCTTTTAAGTGTAAACCCTGGTTGGAAGTCACTAAGTTTGGGCTGTTTTGGTGACTCCTGCACAGCAAACTGAGAGGTCTGATTTGGATACCCAGTTAATAAACCTCTGTGTCACAACTCCTGGTTATTGATCTTGGCAAAGGGAGACTGTGTTACTTTAACCTCTTGAAGGAGTCAACGTTCTTGGTTGTGTGGGAGCTACTTGGTTTTACTTTACCCATTCCTGGCTGTGTTGCTGCTGTTTGATACATCATTAGAAACCTGGTGGCCAGGCTGGTTGTGTTTCCCAGTAGACTGAGGACCTCTTTTCTTCATCTTTCTGGACAACCAGGATTTACGTGTGGGTTTCAGTGGCCTTCTCAAGATGCTGAAATAGCCATATTTTTGTCTGATTTTACCCATCTTGGCCAGTTGCAATTGAAAGTTCTCCATAACTTGTGTAAAAGTGTTAGAGAGAAAGGAAATATGAAAGAGGGATGAAACCCCTGCTGAAACAACTGGACTTCTGAAGTCAGTGTTAGAATTGCAGTCAGTTTGCTTATGAGTAATGAAGAGTGTCATTTGAGAAGTAACCCACCCAAAACCTGAGCTGCCATCCCAAACAGGAAGAGAAGCATCTCATTTGGTGGAAGTTCAATATGTGGAAGTAACTCATAGGCTTTTATTTACCTATTTCAATTTTGGGAGGCACAGGGTTTATTGAGGCTGGTGTTAGGCTGGAGAGAGGTTTGCAAAGAGGTCACCAAGCTGTTGGTGGAATTACTCTGCCATCACTCCAGTCAGTGGGTTTGTCACTTTGGGGCACTGGAGTGACAATGTGGCTGCTTGATCACTTCCAGAAACCGTTGGACTCCAAGAATAAGTTTAAAGGTTGTATCATTTTATGTTGTATCATTTACATAACTTACCTGTCAGTAACACTTCCCATATAGTCAAATGCGTGGGTGTCTATATATATTCCTGCTGAAAGGATCAGGTTCAAAGGATAAACTCTGACAGTGATGTGGACTCAGTCTGACCTTGTAAAAAGGTAAGTGCTTCCTCCTTGGTTGTGCTGCTTTCCATAAAGAAAACACAAGCACCTACATCAGCCAGTTCTTCTTCCCCTACACAGGCTATGCAGGGCTTCTTGTAAGAAAAAGAGCAAATCTGATAATAGCCCTTGCCTTAAGCTTGTAACAACAATCTGGTTTGAGTTTTATTTGTAAGCATTTTCTGTTTTGAAAGACTTGACTCACAATCAGGATAAACAGCTGGAATAACAAGGATTTGGGTCACTGTTCGTAGCAGTGTCCCTAAGTGTGGCTTTTCACTAGGCTTCATGCCGTATTAATCACAAAGTCTGAGAGCAGTGGTGGGATCTGTCTCCTCGCTGTCATTCCGTGCAGCCTGTGCGCAGGATGTATCAGCACAATGCCCCTGGCAGATGGAAGAGTTGCAGTAAATACGCACCGTTATGGTTTAAGTGAAAAAGCTGTGGGAAAGGAAATACATGAATCCATTGCGGCTGTTTGTTCTTTCAAGTAAGCCTCTGTAATAAATTGCAAGTTTTCCCTGGACTTACCCTTTGTATTTCTAAATTCCTTTCTTGGGTAGGGGAGGGAACAGAAATGGAAATGAAGCATAAAAAATACAAAAATACAGAAGCAACTGAAAATTAAATTAGGTGCTGCATGTGGAAAGATATCCTCTTCCCTACAGTCTCTTCATGAACACACTTCAGGAAATTCTGGTCTAGCAGACCATAAGATGCACATTATGCATACAAGTGCATCATTTGTTTAGGGGATGGTGTAGAGGGGATGTTTAGGAAGGGCTTTAAAGCCGCAAGGAAATGAATCCCTGAATCTGGGAAGAACTAAACTTGGTGAATGATTGAATACAGGCTTGGTCCTTGGAAGTGTATTGAACATTTTGTCTTCTAACTCTAAGGGGTTTAAATACTTTCTTCTTACACAATCATGTGTGATCCTCTTTCTTTGATTTTTGCAGTTTTAAGAACATTTGGTGCCAATGGCCAAAAAGGAGAGGGTGTTGGATATTTTACAAACCTTTTTTTTTTATTTTATTTTAATTTAAAATTATTAGACTAATTTGTAAATCCTTTTGTTTCTCAGGTGCCCGATTTTCGTTGTTCCATAGGCCATCATTTGGTTGTGTTTCCAGTTGTTAAAATTTTTCTATCTAGCAGGACCAGGCATCCTAAGAAGGCATTTTCCTGTGCCATACAGATGCAGAGAAAAAGCATGTGTTTTTTCTCTTCCGTTTCACCTTCTCCCTTAGTTGTAAATCATCTTTTAGGTGCTTGAAAACTTTATTCTTTACTTTTAAAGATCCTATGCCCCCTGCTCAATGTGGCAGTAGTGCAGGATGCCTACTGTGTCTCCATAGGGTTACAAGAGAGGGATTTAAGCTCCTGCTCTCCGCGGATGCCCCAGCTGCTGTTGCGGTATGTGGCACAGCTCATTTGCCTGTTTGATGTTGTTGTGGGTGTTGCTGCAAGGGCTGGTGACAAGAGGCTGTGCAGTGAGGATAGGGGTAGCAGGCGTCTAAGCTTCCTCTGTGGAAGCACTATTAAAATGGAATAAAATTCCTGCTCAAAGATGGAATGATGCTCAAAGAGCCTGCACACAAATCTGAGCTCAGAGGTGGGCACTGATCCCAGCCTAACATATCAGCAAGCTGTGCAATTGCTTTTGGTCCTTGCTGGGACAGATGAAGCTATGGCAGAGCTCTGTGTTGTTACATCTAGACCCATTTCTTGTGCTCAAGCGAGTTTATTTTAAGCTAGCTTGAAATACCTCTATGCTGCACTGTAGTGGGTAGTGTATGCAAAGACATGTATTTCAGGATCAGTTGCAAATGACTCTTCTGTCACATGGAAACCTTACAGGGGAAGAAAAGATAAACAGAAGTAAATAGTGTGAAACTGTAACTAAACTGTTGCTGACTCTTAAATATTGGTCTCTTGCTTTCCAGAAATCTTGTGGAAGCTGGAAAGGCTCTAGGAAGGTGGGCAGCTAAGGACACTTGGCTGAATTAAGCCATGGCTTATGTGGGTTCAGTTGTGTCAGTAATTTCATATCCTCCTAAGAGCTCGTTGATCTTCTTACAAGGGTTTGATGTGAACAAAGTCGGGGCAGAAGCTGATATAAAATATGTATTACACAGCCAAGTCATGCACGGCAAAATGGGTAAACCCACATGCATACGTCCTGCGGGTGCCTGTGTGTTGGTTCAGTGTTATTTTTGTCAGGTCTGTCATGCATATATGTATGATCAGGTTTGTTCGCCTTCTGGTGGCTTTCCAACATGGAAAAGTCATGGAAAACTGGCAAATATTAAATTAATAAGCTAACACTCAGAAAAACTGCAGCAGAGCTGATTTTTATTTCTGTTTTTAATGTCACTGAAGTACACTGCAAGCAGAATAGCTTCACGTTCAGCTCTCAAAGCAGTTTTTGTCCTTGGAGAAAACTCTCTTCCAGAGGAAAAGTGTGTGCTGGCTAGCGTTTGCTGTAATGCGGATGGGGCACCTAATTCCCTTGTGAAGGAGAAATTGTAGCCATGTAAACAGGAGGAGATGCAGATGTTTTCCATGTTCAGATCCACTCCTCAGATAATGCTGCACTGTGCACCATGTGTGCACCGCGCCATGTGGAAACTGCAATTCTCAGAGGGGCTTGCTTTAAGCATACACTGCAGCATTCCAGAGCTATGGCGGCATGGATGCCCATCCCAGCCCTTAGCCTTCATGCGTCATTTCTGGTGCTTGACCAGTGCCAAATACATAAGTATCTTAGGAATGAAGCCTTTACAGACTAACTTCCTCTGCTGCTTATTTTCTCATGTAGATTTTATTCCTTTTCTTGCGTGAGTTGCAGTTGTTTATTGCTACAGAAAAGGTGCAGTTTCTTGTTCACAACCGAGGGACTGCAATCTGAAGTTTCATTAATGTTTGTGCAACTTTCTGTCCCCCCATTGCATTTTGAGGTGGAAAATGTGATTCTCTTCTCCTCCACAAGCCGATGGGTTACTTTTTAAGTGTTTAATTTTTCTGTTGCTTGTTAAAGTGAGATACCTCAGATGTTTCAGCCCTAGCAGAGACGGGGAGAAGCTTCCTCAACCTCAAGAATGCAAACTCCTGTTTCTTGA